AATATTCTCCATCTTACTCTCTATCCCTTTTTTTAATTATTCCTAACATCCCATTTGCTTTTTTGACTGCTTGTGCACACTGTGTGGATGTTTTCAGAGAACTATCCACGACGACTCCAAGATCTTTTTCCTGATTAGTTGTAGCTAAATTAGCCCCCATTATATTGTATGTAAAGTTGGGGTTATTTTTTCCAATATGCATTACTTTACATTTATCCACTTTAAATTTCATTTGCCATTTTGTTGCCCAATCACTTAGTTTTGTGAGATCTTTTTGAAGTTCTTCACAGTCTGCTTTGGTCTTAACTATCTTGAGCAGTTTAGTATCATCTGCAAACTTTGCCACCTCACTGTTTTACCCCTTTCTCCAGATCATTTATGAATAAGTTGAATAGGATTGGTCCTAGGACTGACCCTTGGGGAACACCACTAGTTACCCCTCCCCATTCTGAAAATTTACCATTTATTCCTACCCTTTGTTCCCTGTTTTTTAACCAGTTCTCAGTCCATGAAAGGAGCTTCCCTCTTATCCCATGACAACTTAATTTCCATAAGAGCCTTTGGTGAGGGACCTTGTCAAAGGCTTTCTGGAAATCTAAGTACACTATGTCCACTGGATCCGCCTTATCCACATGTTTGTTGATCCCTTCAAAGAACTCGAATAGATTAGTAAGACATGATCTCCCTTTACAGAAACCATGTTGACTTTTTTTCCCAACAATTTATGTTCTTCAACGTGTGTGATAATTTTATTCTTTACGATTGTTTCAACTAATTTGCCTGGTACTGACGTTAGACTTACCAGTCTGTAATTCTCAGGATCACCTCTAGAGCCCTTCTTAAATATTGGCATTACATTAGCTATCTTCCAGTCATTGGGTACAGAAGCTGATTTAAAGGACAGGTTACAAACTATGGTTAATCGTGCCGCAATTTCACGTTTGAGTTCTTTCAGAACTCTTGGGTGAATGCCATCTGGTCCTGCTGACTTGTTCCTGTTCAGTTTATCAATTAATTCCAAAACCTCCTCTAGTGACACTCCAATCTGTGACAATTCCTCAGATTTGACACCTACAAACAACGGCTCAGGTTTGAGAATCTCCCTAACATACTCAGCCGTGAAGACTGAAGCAAAGAATTCATTTAGTTTCTCTGCGATGCCTTTATGTTCTTTTAAGTGCTCCTTTTGTATCTCGATCGTCCAGGGGCCCCACTGGTTATTTAGCAGGCTTCCTGCTTCTGATGTACTTAAAATATTTTTGTATTACCTTTTGAGTTTTTGGCTAGCTGTTCTTCAGACTCCTTTTTGGCTTTTCTAATTACATTTTTACATTTAATTTGGCAGTGTTTATGCTCCTTTCTATTTACCCCACTAGGATTTGACTTCCACTTTTTAAAAGATGCCTTTTTATCTCACTGCTTCTTTGACATGGTTGTTAAGCCACGGTGGCTCTTTTTTAGTTCTTTGACTGTGTGTTTTTTAATTTGGGGTATACATTTAAATTGGGCCTCTATTATGGTGTCTTTGAAAAGTGTCCATGCAGCTTGCAGGGATTTCACTCTAGTCACTGTATCTTTTAATTTCTGTTTAACTAACCCCCTCATTTTTGTATAGTTCCCCTTTCTGAAATTAAATGCCACAGTGTTGGGCTGTGGAGGTGTTCTTCCCACCACAGGAATGTTAAATGTTGTTATATTATGGTCACTGTTTCCAAGTGGTCCTGTTATAGTTACCTCTTGGACCAGATCATGCACTCCACTCAGGATTAGATCAAGAGTTGCCTCTCCCCTTGTGAGTTCCTGTACCAACTGCTCCAAGAAGCAGTCATTTAAAGTATCGAGAAATTTTGTCTCTGCATTTCGTCCTGAGATGACATGTACTCAGTCCATATGGGGATAATTGAAATCCCGCACTATTAATGAGGTTTTTATTTGGTAGCCTCGCTAATCTCCCTTAGCATTTCATCATCACTATCAGTGTCCTGGTCAGGTGGTCGATAATAGATGCCTACTGTTTTATATTCTTATTAGACCATGGAATTATTATCCATAGAGATTTTATGGAACATGTGGATTCATTTAAGATTTTTATTTCATTTAATTCTACATTTTCTTTCACACATAGTGCCTGCATTCTCTCCTACAGCTACCTAGGTTAATGACAGGGTTTTTGTTTAAATCAAGAAGTTTTGATTATAGTTTAGTTTAAAGGTTTTAAAGAATGTCAAGTATACCTCCTCCCGTTTCCAAACTCCCTCTCGAAACTCCCTGGTCGCAAAGCACCCTAGTGGCTTTCTCAAGCCCTGGCGTTCTTGATAGCCCCGCCCTCTGACTGAGGCTCAGCCGATGAACAGAGACTTCTAGATTTCAAACCTTGTTTAGAAGCTCACAGCTTCCAGCTGCCGGCCACTGCATATGGTCCTTCAAACAAACAAACACAAGCTCAGCACACAGCAAGTAACCCCCAAACACAAACCCACACTACAGACAGCCACTTACCCCAAGGGTCCCATATTTGCTCCTCCTTCCCCTGGAGAACTCCCTCTCAAAACTCCCTGTTCGCAAAAACAAATAATGCCAAACCAAACTAATTTCCTTCAAGATGTGACCTATCATGATTTTTAGTAAGGCTTTTAATATTGTCCACCGGACATTCTCATACACAAACTAGGGTAATGTGGTCTAGATGAAATTATCATGAGGTGGAAAGATTGTAGTCAAAGAGTAGTTATCAGTGGTTTGCTGGCAAACTGGGAGGGTGTATTTAGCGGTGTCCCACAGGAGTCATTCTTGGGTCTGATACTATTCAATATTTTCATTAATGACTTGGATAATGGAGTGGAGACTATGCTTATACATTTTCCAGATGTCACCAAGCTGGGAGGGGTTGCAAGCCCTTTGGAGGACAGGATTAGAATTCAAAACAACATTGACAAATTAGAGAATTTGTCTGAATTCAACAAGATGAAATTTAATAAAGATGAGTGCAAGGTACTTCACTTAGGAAGGAAAAATCAAAGGCCCAATGTGGGGAATAACTGGGTGGCTGCACTGCTGAAAAGGATCTGGGGGTTAGAGTGTGTTACAAATTGAATGAGTCAAGAAGGTGATGTAGCTGTGGAGAAGGCTAATATTGTTCTGGGGTGTATTAACAGGAGTGTCATATCTAAGACAAGGAAGGTAATTATCCCCCACTACTCTGCCCTGGTGAGGCCTTAGCTGGAGCACTGTGTCTAGTTCCGAGTGCTGCGCTTTAGGAAAGATGTGGACAAATTGGAGAGAGTCCAGAGGAGAACAACAAAAATGATTAAAAAGTTTTAAAACACCTGACCTAGGAAGAAAGGTTAAAAAAACTGGTCATGTTATTCTTGAGCAAAAAGTCAACTGAGAGAAGACTTGCTAACCATCTTCGAGTAGGGTAGGGGCTTGATCAGTTGTTCTCCGTGTCCACTGGAGCTAGAACAAGAAGCAATGGGCTTAAACTGCAGCCAGGGTGATGTAGGTTAGATATTAGGAAAAACTTTCTAACGCTAAGGGTTGTGAAGCTCTGGACTGGACTTCTGAGGGAGGTTGTGGAATCCCTGCCACTGGAGGTTTCAAAACGGGTTGGACAAACCCCTGTCTGCAATGGTCCAGGTTTACTCCGTCAAGGGCACCAGAACCTTTGTAGAAGTGGGCAGGGGAGAGGGCAGGCGACATATAACTGTGGGTAGTGGGGAACTACAGTTGAAAGGGGTTTTTTTGGCAAGGGGTGGGGGGCATGTGACCACCTCAGCAAGCTGTCCTGCTGCTTCCTTCCTCCCTGGGCTGCAGGGACACCTGGAGAGTGCAGATGCCAAGGGCAGCACTGTCTCTTTGCTGCAGGGCATCCCACCCCGAGGTGTCCCAAGAAATCTGGGGGTCCACGTAACCCCGCATGCCCCCCGACATGTCGCCTCTGGAAGGCCAAAGTGGATTCCTGTGCCCCTTCTCCCCTAAGCCTTGCACTCCCCTTCTGCACCCCCTCCCCATGTGGAACCCCTTGCCCTCCAGGCACTTGGTACAGCCGGTCTTCTACCTCCAGCAGCTGCACGGAGATCGCCGGGACCCAGCCACATAGCCTGCCCCCCTGCCTTTCCTACCAGCCAGCACCTGCAGCACCATGATCAGCGCCCCTGCAGGTGCTGCTCCAGACTTGCCTAATGCTGGCAGTTTGTGGATGGAGCCCAGTGACTTGTGACTGGATGTCTTAACCAGCGCCCCATTACACCTCTTTTCGTGTAATAATCCAGGCTGATAACAACGATGATCGACACCACTGAACTGCTTCTCTTTTGCTGATGACGCCAAATCAATGGGAAGCTCTCCTTCCCTCTCTCGTAACCTTAGAAAAACGAATCCGGTCTTCTGGTCTGAGCATTAACTGCTACCACGGCATTGTCAGGCGAGGGCCCCAGTTTCACTTGTGGGGGGCTGCATGTTTCACATCCCTGGGTTAAAGTAGAATTAAAAAACCCCTTGGGTTTATCAATATTTTTCAATAACCCAAGACTAAATAATTGTTCTAGGTCTGACCCGTTGTGTGCGGGGAGAAAGGGCTTTTGAATGATACCCCACTCGACCCATTGCTGCTGACGTATTATCAAAACTTCCACCAACCAGAGGACCGAGAGCTGGGGGGACTGTGAGCCCATCGCAGAGGGTGACACCCGTGAAATGAGGATTCTGTAGATTTTTTTTTTTTTTTAACAAATCCGATGACCCCTCCCTCACCTTTCTGCCATTAACTTTCCCCAGAATTACACGTGCTCCCAGACTGTCAGCTCTGGCCCATGGTTCCCAGAACTCCAGGATGGCCCGTTCCCTAGCACCAAGGAACGTGAGCCCGGGGACTGATGCCATATGGAGCCCTGGGGAGTAACCTTGGGGGCGACTCTGCCTGGGTGGGGGTGGGCTAGATGGGCCCTGTGAGATGCAGTTAGGTCCCCCCTTTGCTGACCTCCTTTCTCCCCTCTCCCCAGCTGATGCAGGGTGATCCCCACAAGCTGGATTTCCGGAACGACCTGATCACCTGCCTTCCTGGCACAGGGACCTTTGGAAGTCTGGCTCATGGCCAGGAGCTCACGCGCCCCGCCACGCTCTTTACCCCCGCAGGTCAGCGCCTTCCAGGCCCCAAGATCCTGCAGCCACTGCCCCCCTCCCAGCCCTGGGTACCCAGGTTATTGGGAAAACTGGGCATATCTGGGGGAGGGGATACTGGGCTGGTGGGGGACGTGGGGGCATTGGAGCCAATTGTGGGAGGGAAGAGACAGGCAACCCAGGGGCTGTGGGGGGTTGGGGCTCAGGCTGGGGGCGGGAGGGAGGGAAGGAGATGATCTAGACAAGGGCTGTGGGCCCAGTAGGGATGAACTCCTCTCAACCAATCTAATGCTCTTTCTGTCCTCCACAGGGGCTGTCCATCCAAGCTCTGGTGCCTCCTTTGGGCCCCCCAGCGCGCCACACAGCTCTTTCCTGGGCCCCAGCACACACCTTGGTAAGAGCTGGGGGCGGGGTACAGGGCACCAGGACTAGGCATGGAGTCAGGGGCTGCACATGAGGCACGTGGGCTGTGCTGCCCACGCCAGGGGTGGGGCATGAGGGCCCCAAGGGGCATTGCTGCGCCCATTCACCCCTCCCTTTCCTCCTCCTTGCTTTTCAGATCCTTTCAGCCGCCCCACCAGCTTCGCCGCGCTGGGGGCGCTCTCCAACGGGGCCTTCGGGGGCCTGGGGAACCCCGCCTTCAGTGAGTAGAGGGGGCGGGGCCACAAGCATGAGGGCGGACTCCAGTGCTGGGAAGGAGGGAGGACTGTTCTGTGCCCCATGTGGGGCGACCCCTCAGGGCCGAAGCCCACCTGGGAGGGAGCAGGACCTGCGTGGTGAGAGGCTGGGGGCGGAGCCGGTGAGGGAAAAGTTGTGGAGCCGGGTGAGCTCTCGGGAGTGAGACCCCCATGTGAGAGGAGGTGGGGCCTCAGTGAGCCCTGGGGAAGGGTTCGGGGCGGCACTGTGTCCAAGAGGGACAGTAATTGCCCAGGAACAATCCTGGGGCAGGGCCCGTGCTGAAGCGGGCAGGCGAGCCCCAGGTATTTCTGGGGGGAAGAGGGGCGGAGCCCGCACCTGAGGGGCGGGACCTATTCTCAGAACCTCTGTAAGCTAATCCCCCATGGAATAAGGCAGGGCCTGGATAGGGAAGGGACATGGGGGTGGGGCCTCCCTTGGCAGAGGTGGAGCCTACGCAGGGAGAGCCCTGGGGATGGAGCCCACTTTGGGAGCGGCGGAGTTAGGTCCTTCCCAGACTCATGTTCTGGTCTCTGTGTTCCCATCCCAGACTCCAGCTCCATGTTTGGGCAGAAGGACAGCCCTGGGGCTCAGGCCTATGGCAGCCCCCACGACCCATGGAACCGGCTGCACCGCACGCCCCCCTCCTTCCCCACTGCCCCCGCCTGGCCCAAAGGGGGTGCTGGTGATGCAGCTGAGCGTGGACCGGCCCAGCACGAGAAGGAGCCGGACAAGCGGGAGGTGCCTGCCATAAAGGACGAGAAGGACAGGTATGAGGTGGGGGCAGGCCAGCTGGGTGGGTAGGGGTCAATGTAAGAGGGCCGGGGATGAGGGTTGCAGGGCTGGCTGAGGATTGTTGGGGGGGTCAGGGTGGGATCGGTCAATGAGGTCCAGGTGCAGGAGCGGGGACTGATTCTGGGGAAGGGGGGGACGGGCTGGCCGGAGATTGGGAGGGGATCGGGGCTGGTGTGGGGGAGGAAGGAGATGGAACGGCTAGGGATTGAGGAGGGGGATGGGATGGCTGAGGAATGTGGGGGGATCAGGGACTGAGGAGGAGGGGGACGAGTTGGAGATTGTGTTGGCCTCAGCCCAGTTCGTGGCACTAACCCCCAGCTCTGTTCCAGGGACACCCTTTTCTCCAGGCCGCCCCCTCGTGCTTCGCCAGTGCCCCTCCCCACTAAGCACCCTGCATCCCTGGGGCTGGAAGACGGCCCCATGCGAGCACACAGTGAGCCAGGCCGGGAGCAGCGTTACGGCAGCCCAGTGGGGGGCCGGGCTTCACGCTCACCCTACCCTGACCCTGCCCTCAAGAAGGAGGTGAAGGTGAAGGAGGAGCCGGAGCTGGGTGTCCTAGAGGGGGCACTACGGGCGGGCGGGCCCTTTCCCGGGGCTCTGCATGTCTCCCACCCGCTGGGGCGCTGGCTGTCTTCGAGCGGCCGCAGGGCTCCCCGTATCTGGTGGCTGGGCCAGCCCCTGGTGCCCCCTATGCTGCCCTGGAGGCCTGGCGGGAGCCCTACGCCCTGCCCCGCTATCTAGAGCGCGAGCTGCCCGAGGACTACGAGCGCGCACGGCTCTATGGGCTGGGCCCGCACCCCCCGGGGCTGCTGGCCTACCCCCGGCATGCCACGCTGCTGGCCAAGGCCCCACCCCCAGAGGGGTTGCTTGGCGCCCCTCCGCCCCTCATCCCTGCCGTGCCCGGCGCCCGGCCCAGCTCCCCCCGCCGTGCCCCGGACCTCCGTGAGCTCACCACCGCCTACAAGGACCGGGACTCCAGATAATGATGCCTGTAGGTCCCAGGCCCTGGCATCAGAGATGGCATAACCTCCCCACATGGGGCTGGCTAGGATCCCCCCCACCCTGCCATTAGGGGCAGAATTCTCCCCTGCCCACCCCAGCATCAGGGGCAGCATGTCCTCCCCACGCCAGGCCAGTCAGCATCCCTCCCACCTAGCATCAGCACTGGTATCCACTCCCCCCAACGTGGCATCAGGTGCAGGATCCCTGCCCCCATCCCTTGGACTGGCCAGGATCAAGGGCGAGAGCGCTGAGGAAACTGCCCCCCTCCTGGCTGCTACATACGGTCAGAAGGGATGGGAGGCAGGACAGTGGAGTTCAGGGTGTGGCTGTGCCTCCCCATCTCCCCCTGGCCTGGCTGGGTCCAGGCGAGGGAGGGTTGGCATTGCGTGCCCCACGTTGTCCCATGGAGAGGGCTTGGGGGAGGAAGACCAGCTGTCGGGGTGTTCTCTACTGGACTGGTGGGGTTTAGATCTGGGTTGTTGGGATCATCCCAGGGCGGGTGGGGGTTAGAGGTGTGGGTTAAAGGGCGATTTCCCCAAGCTCATGGGGTTTCAGGGCAGGAGTCGGGCTTCAGGTCCCCCAAATCTCCCCGTAAGTGGGGATTTTGGGGGGGTGTCTTGCTTTGCTCCCCTGTGGACTGGGGGGAGGGGGCAGGAGTGGAGCTGGGCCCCCCAGCCTAGTGTAAATAGGTCCCTGCTACCCTCAGGTGAGCTGGGTTTTGTACATTTATACCAGGTTTGAGGTGGTGATTTTAAAGGATCCCCCCCGCCCCTCTTCTCTCCCCTCATTTTTAATGTACCGCGCTTTTTTCTATTTCTGTATTGACGTTGTGACGCTCCCCTCCCTCTCCCAACTGGACCTGATCGGAAAGGGATAACACGGCTGCAGGGGAAGGGTAGTGGAGACCCCCGCCCCTTGCATTGGACACTGCCGGTTCCTCCCCTTCCTCTCCCCCCCTGTTTAATTAAACCCCAGATTGGTGCTTCTGGATGGATTACTCTTTGTGATTTCTTCTACCTGGGGACGGGTCAGGGATCCGAGTTATAATCCATGGCAGCAGGATCTGAACATGCCAGTGATTAAATATTCAGGCCCAGGGCTGGGAGTCTCTGGGGAGGAGTGGGCAGCTGGTGCCTTGATGCAATAAAATGAGGGAGGCCATATGCGGGCTGATCCTGGGGTTCAGGCCCCAACCCAGGACACCTGGGTTCCATTCCTGGCTCCATTGCAGGCTGTGGGTGACCCTGGGCACGTCCTTAAATCTCTCTGGGCCGTATCTGTAAAACAGGGAGAATTGTTCTTCCCTTTGTCGATTTAGATTGTGAGCTTCTTGGGGCGGGGACTCATATTCTCTCTCTCTGCGACACCCAGCACAATGGGGGCCCCAGTCTCAGTTGCAGTCTGGGCAGCACCCTCCACAATGGGAGCCCTGATCCATTTGGGGAGGGATCTGGGCAGAGCCTGGGGTGCTGGCAACCCCAATCCCGTGCAGGGTGAGGTCCATGTAGCCCCCAGCATGACACGGCCATGATCCTGTGTGTGACAGATCCGTGCGGCCCCTGGTGTGATGCGGCCCCAATCCCGTGCAGGGATAGATCCGTGCAGCCCCAGTCTTGTGCAGGGAGGGGTCCGTGCAGCCCCTGGTGTGACATGGCCTCAAACCTATGTGGGGAAAGGGCCGCGCGGCCCCTGGTAGATTGCAGCCCCAGTCCCAGTTAGGGAGGGGTCCACACTGCCCCGGATGCAACAGCAGCCCTGATCTGCGTCGGAGAGGGGTCTGCATGATTGCTGGTATGCCAGCGTTCCTTTACAGCTGGAAAGACTCTCCCTCCCCCAGCTCTGGGAGGCTTCCGGAGCATTCTCCACCCAAGACCATGCTCCCCATCCCTCCTGTTCCACTAGTACAAAACTACAAGGGGACCGAAGCCCCCTGATTCCCTGCCCCATCCTTTGCAGGTAAGATCCACTGGCACCTGCCCCTAGATTTTCTCTGTGCTTCACTCCCGTGGCAGTTGCATTTTGGCAGGGCCGTGCCGGTGCATTGCAGGGGCGCTTGGCACGTGGGTGCTCTTTCTCTCTCCCCAAGAGCCTGCTACAGCAAGCAGAGTACAGGAGCAGCTGTGGAAGCCTGCAGCACTGACCAGGCCAGTAGGAGGTGCTTTATTGCTGGGGAAATGGTGACAGCAGAGAGGTCTGGGTATTTCTAAAATGAGGGGCTCCTCTCCCAACTACCAGCTGCTGACACAGCCCTGACCCTGAGCTTCCTCCATGTTGGGCATGATGCTCCAACCCAGAGCCAATCATTTTTAAGTGAGGTTCTGTATACAGAAGGAATGAAATAGGGTTGGTGGGAGGGCTGGGAGCTAAGACTCTTGGGTTCTATCCCCAGCTGTAGGAGGGGAATAGCATCTATTGATTAGAACATGGGGCACTGGGAGCCTTAAGGGTTCAGCAAATGGAAAAAATGCTCCATGTTACAGAGGATTACTAACAATTATCTATTGCAGTCAGGATGGGGCGCTCTACAGCCCAGGAGCTTATTCCTGGCCCCAAGAGTTTAGAATTGGCCTGCACTATCGCGGTGCTACAGCACTCCCGAGAATGGATAATTATCATGCGTAGTGCGGGGGACATTGTGACCCAACAGAACCTGAGGCTAGGGGTAGGGATGCCTCCTGTTGTGCAGTGATATGCTGACCCATTTCCCCCAGCAGATAGAGCCAAGAGCAATAAGGGAGTGAAGGGGGTGTTATTCATACCGAACGAAGCCTGTTCAAATGGGAACAAAAAAGAACCCAGATCTCAAGGACTAGGGGGAAGATGAGCCCTAATGGATCCTGCTCTGTTAATTCAGAGGGAAGCAGGATGTTCGTGGAAAAGTTGCTGGATGGTTCAAGTGCATCTGACTGCTGTCCCCAGGGGGCAATAGTGAGACAGCAGAGGGAATGGATTTGTTTGTAATGTATGATTTGATAGCATCCTATTACCTTGAAATGGGATTTGAAAAGCTACTTTTCTGTCTACATACATCCTTCTCTCTCCACCTATGCCCATGCATGCCCCTTCCTCCCTGCACATATCCCTCCTCTTCCACATCCCCCATCTATCCTTATCCACATCCACACTGCTCCATCCACACCCACCTAATCTGTCCTTCTGAATACATCCAGTCCATCCATCCCCATATACTGGCTGTCTGTATCCATCCCTTCCCATACACGCTCATCTATATCCGTCCCTCCATATGCACATCTTTCCATCCATTCATCCCCATATGGACCCCTCTGTCCATCCTCCCACACACCCCATGTATCTGTCTCCATACACTCAGACCTACACTCCCCTTACTCATTAGCTACTGGGATTGTTTATGCAGAAACAGGGTGGATTCTTCCTCAGGTGGAGTGTTTAAATAAAGACAAGATGTCTTTTTCTCAACTCTGCTCTAGATCAGCCAGGGAGGTGTGGGGCTGGATGCAGGAAGCATTGGGGGAGGTTACCAGCCCTGGGGGATTCCAGCTAGATCATCTGATGGGGGCTAATTCGTGGCCCCAAGAGTTTAGCAAGCGATAGCACAGGCCCGGCCACTCGCGCTCTCTCTCCATAAAGCCCATCCATGGCTCCATCTAGGTGAAGACGCTGATCACATCCACACACGAGCACCAGCAAAAGGGGCATGGCAGAAAATTTTGCAGAGAAAAATTATCACAAGGTTCTGTTAAGTTTCCCCAGACAGTAGATAGTGACAATCCACCCTGGTTCGGCTCCAGTGTTCTCCCTGAAGAGCTCAAGGGAAATACCCCCTCAAAAATTGGTGGGGAAAATCCTTGACATCCTTCCATGGAACTACATTTCCCAGCAGCCTCCTCGGCACTCGGCTGGAGAACTGCATTTCTCAGCATCTTCTTGTGTCACCGCCCGCTCCCACGGAACTACGTTTCTCCGCCTCCCCTTCTGTCCGGGCTCTATGGAATAATATTTCCAAACGCCCGCCTCTGCCGCCCCTCCATGGAACTACTTTTCCCGTCATCCCCTGCGCCCTATCTTCGGGCTGGACTCCATTTCCCACAATCCCGTGAGCTCAGAGCTCTTTCTTTCCTCGCCGGGAGTCGAGACTTCACTTCCCGCGCTCCCCGGCTTCCTCCTCTCGCGAGACTTCGCGGCCGCATTGGTCCCGTTCTGTCCCCGTTGCCCCGCTCGAACTCCACTTCCCGTCATCCCTCGCGCCTCTGACTGTGTCTCCCTTTCACCTCTCGCGAGAGTTGCCGGGCGGCGAAGCGGGCGCGGGGGGGGGCGGCCCTGGTGGTGGAGGTGGTGGCGTCCGCCATTTTGCCGCGGCGGCTCGGCTCGGCTCGGCGGGGCCTGGTTCGGGGTCGGCATTCGGGTGGGAGGGGCCAGCGCGGGGCTGATCGGGGCCGGCGGGGCCCGAGCGCGGGGAGGGGCGGGGTGGCTGCGGCCGGGGGGCTGCGGATGGCGGCGGATCTTGCCCGGCGGCGGCGCTGGGGCTGAGGCGGCGGCAGGAGGAGGCGGAGCAGGAGGCGCCTCCCTCCCTCCTCCCCCCTCCCACCCAGGTAAGATGGCGGCCCGGCCGGGGCTCCGCGCTCCCCCCCCCGCCCCTACCCATAGGGGCGCGAGACGCGCTTGGGGAGGGAGGGGGCGCGAGGGAGGAGGGAGCGCGTGCGCCGCCAACGCTCCCCCTCCCCGCGCGGCACTAACCGCCGCCTTCCCTGGCGGGGGGAGCCTCGCTCTGGGGCGTCCGGGGCAACGGGGATGGGGTCAAAGGGCAAAAGGGTGGTGGGTTGGGGTGTGCAGGGGTCAAGGGTCAAAAGGGTGTTGGCGTGGGCTGTAGGGATCAGAGGTTAAAGGGTCAGAGGGCAAGGCGTGGTGGGTTGGGGTGGGGGTCAAAGGGTGGTGGGTTCATAGAATCCTAGAATCTCAGGGTGGGAAGGGACCTTGGGAGGTCACCTAGTCCAGCCCCCTGCTCAGAGCAGGGCCAATCCCCAATTTTTGCCCCAGATCCCTAAATGGCCCCCTCAAAGATTGAACTCACAACTCTGGGCTAAGCGATTGCCTAGTTAGGCACTGGGGATCAAGGGGCAAGAGAGGGCTGGGCTGGGGCTGATGGGATCAAGGGGGAATAGGGATAGGGGCTGAGGGAGGGCAGGGGTTAGAAGTCAAAGGGCAAGTGGGGTTGGGTTGAAGTGGGTCAGTGGCTATGGAGTCAGGAGCAGCACAGCTAGTGGGTATGTCTCAGTGGGCTGCAGATCTGAGGGTGTCTGAGCGGGGTCGGGGGGCATCAGAGCTTGTGTAACAGGTGGTTGCGGGGTCAGTGGGGCAGGGAGCATCAGGGTTGATGGGACAGGATCAGGAGTTGGCCCAGCAAGCAGCCATGGGTTTAGTGGGGCAGGGGACATCGGTGTTGGCACAACAGGCAGTCATGGAGTTTGTGGGGCCAGGGGCACCAGGGCTGGATCAGGGGGAATGGGAGTTTGTCAGTTTGGGTCAGGGGTTGCTGGGGGACAGTGTGCCAAGATTGGTAGTGACAGCAGAGGCAGGACAGTCTCCAGGCAGGACAGAGGTGGTTGACAAAAGGGAGTCGGCAGCACGGGGTCTTGGGAAGAGGGAGATGGTGGACATTGGGGTGTCAGGCTTGGCAAGACAGAGTTGTGAGGTAATGGGATTGGGGGGGTATAGGATGATGGGTTTGGCAGGTTTAATGATACAGAGATCCACAGTACTGGGGTTGGCTGGATGGGGTCAGAAGGTACTGGGGTTGGAGGTAGAGGGATATGCAGTGACAGGACGGGGTGATTGGTTAGTGGACTTAGTGACAGTACCCAGGGTATCAGGCTTGAAGGACACAGATTACAGGAATATGATAGGGTTGGCAGGACAGGACCAGGGTGTAACAGTGGCAGGACCTGGGATAGTGGGACAAAATCCTGATGTGACAGGCTTGGCAGGATGGGTTCAGGAATCAAGGGCACTGG